ATCCTTACTGCTGTTGTATACCTAGAACAGAGCTCCAGCAAAGCCAAGGCATTAGCAAGATTCCTAATATAAACACAAGATCTTATATTATTACTGGGTACAACGGAGTAAACTGTTTCCCCTGTATTAGTTAAGCTCCTTATTTGGCCCTTGTATAACCAAGGTTCCTGAATAAGTGCTATGTCTGCCTTACCCTCAGCTAGATGTTGACACAGAGCTGCCGTGGCAGCTTTGCTGTGCTGTAGGTTGATTTGAAAAAATTTCATGATCTCAATTTCCATCTTATGTCCCTCTCCGTTCTTGGACTGGGCTCCGTGTGAAGGGGTCCCCTGATCCATTTTGCTTTGGTCGTCCGGGGGCTGGGTATCTCATCCCCTTCCTCCTCAGAGACCGAGTTAGAAGATACAGTGTCTGTCACGGGTTCTAGCTGGCGCTGAACTTTGGGATCATCCAGCACCTTAACATTCCCCTGTGAGGGTCCTGTAAATATTTTGTAACCGGTCCTCTGTATAATAGTATGGGAGTCCCGTTCTATGAATAAGATAAGTCTTTGGCCTTTTGATTCACATTGCTTGTCTAATACCCTCCAGTTCTCTGTATGAAGTCCCAGATTAAGGTCTGCAATCCATTTCAGCAGCTCTTCCTGGTTTTGGGCAATTTTGTCCCTAGTCTGGAGACAATCAAAATGAAGACAGCACACACACACATATCCAGCAGTACAACACACGCAGTCACAAGAGAAAGACACAACACAGAGCACAATACACACATGAATGTAGGAAGAGTGCTCCCATAGAGGAGGATTGGTGTGACTCGCATATTTGAGATACGATGTATGGATGAGGAATCCTGAAAGGTTTTAGTATTTAGAATTTATTGTTATACATGACGAATACACATTTTAGTCATTTTATGATGGAGATGTCATGGCATGCAGTGCAGTAGTTTGACGTGGATAGAGACACACCTGAAGATGGCACATTAGTGCCGAATCATGTAGTGTAAAAGTGAAGAGAAAGGTGAAATTGTGTTCACTGTAAGACGGCTAGCATAAATACACATCATGGACATGAATCAGTGCAACAGGACACTAAAATATAACACTGGAGAGCTACTGTAACAGGCTTGGGCAGGTTCCTGGCATCAGTAGCCTTCAGCCTGGTCCCTGATTTGAGCCTGTGGTTGTCATTGGCTCTGATGAGCCACTGACCAGACTGTTGGTCGGCACATATATAGATAAGTGCACCTTCCAACAGTCTGTAGGATTTCAGGTGTGGTAGTTCTTCCTTTGGAGTCCTACGTAATACCTCGCCCAGTGCTTCCAGAATGGAATGTTTGTCATCTTCGGTAAGCTTATCCTCAGGGTAAGTGTCCTTGAAGATATATTGGTGAGAGCCTCCTTGTAAGTCCCTGGTCCTTTAGAGTCCCTGGGCTTTTTCAGAGTTCTGGCTGTTTCTGTAGGTGTACTGCCCTCCGACCTTGGCCTCTTAAAGGTGCCGGTGGGGGTTTCTCCCTGCTTGGATGGGCTTGCATTTCTTGTAGTTACTATAGGATTCTGACGATGGTGTATAACACATAGAAATATTGGGTTTTCGAACTTTATCCATTGTCCTGGTTTTAAGATAACTATGAAAAACACGGCATTTCGGAAACTGGATCTGTTTCCGTCCTCAGGTGAGGGAAAACACCTATTCTGTTGGGTCCCTTAGAAATTACTGGGCGATTGTCCAATGATTGAGGCTAGCTCTTTCTAAGGGACCCAACAGAATAGGTGTTTGCCCTCACCTGAGGATGGAAACAGATCCAGTTTCCAAAATGTCGTGTTTTTCATAGTTATCTTAAAACCAGGACGATGGATAAAGTCCGTAAAACCAATATCTCTGTTTGCATTTCCTGGTTGCTGACTGCTCCCAGTTCCTGCTTTGTTTGTCTCAGCTTTTGCCTTTTTTAACTTCCGTCTAGCACATCCAGACAAAGCTTTCTTTGCCAGACAGGGTCCACCTACTCTGGAGCCTAGGTGTCCAAGTCTTTGCCCTGCTGCAGGTATGTTAGAGGTACTGGCTCCCTGAAGTGGTGTGTCAGTACTACCAACCCCCAGGAGAGTAGTTTTTAGTTTTGCCTCTGGCAAGTTTTGAATCACTGGTTCATCCTTGCCTTTGGCTGAAATTTCAACAGCAGGTTCGCCAGTTGCAACTGGGCTCCTTAATGGTTCACCAGAGCTTCCAGCTCCCTGCTGAAGCATTTCTTGTAGGGATCCCCTTGAATGGGGGTCCCTCTTCAGTTTAAGGTCCTTGCGACCGGTTTTTGGTTTGGTTCCTTTTTTCATTTTGGTCCCACGAGTAATGGGGATTTAAAAGGTCACCACCCTCAGAGCCCTGTATGGGTGGAAGGCATAAATACAATGGTGTGCTGCTTGGTGCCCCGAGGGGATCGTTCACGACACTGGTCAATAACCACCCCAGTGCCATACAGCCCTCGGCAAGATGCCTCATACCTTGGCTTAGGAGGTTGGCCCTTCGTAAATATAACTCTCACAAGCCTCCAGGAGCAAGAGTGCATGTTCGGGGGGAGAGGGGTATCGCAGATGATAAATGGGATTGCAATACTAGTTGTCATGAGGTTGCGACCAGAGCATCCTACATGAGATTATCACCCCTGGAGGTTGCTTCAGAGGTCCCCATTCCCACCCCTCCACATGGGTTGGTCAAAACCATTTTTAGAGTGTTGAGCCCTAAGGCTTGCAGCACCTTATCAGTACTCTAGGGAAACAACTCAAATAGCTGTAGCTACCCCCATAGGAGTGCTCTCCCACATTCGTCCTGGGTACATCGTAATGAAACCCAAGAGTCATTATGCCGCCGCGTGGGAGGCTCTGGTCAAATAGCCATCACCCCTTATGGAAACTTGGCCGCCAGCTCCGGAAGCTCATGCTAATGCAAACCCCCAAGACTGTCGTTGCCCAGCAGGACCACGAGGAGGTGTTCCAAAGCTGTCTCTCTCTCAGTGCATCCCTGGTCTATGATATGTCCCCACCAAAGACACAGCCGCCCTGCCATTCTCCATGTAAAACATCTGTGAAGGTGTATGGTACCTTTAGTTGGCAAGCTCACAGAAGAAAATACTTGAGCATTCAATGAGATTTCAGGTGTGGCAGTTTGGGTTCCAACTGTATGTTGAAAGTTTAATCTATTAGTAACTTTCTAATGGTAATTTAATCATATAATATCATTATCTGATAGTGCACACCCTCAGAGCTATTTTAGACAGCAAACACATTTCAGTATTATAATTTGTAGGCTTTGAGCCCAGATTAAACAGGTTGTCTCTGGCAGTAATGCTTTGACTTGTATTTGGTGATGGGGCTCCGGTTCAAATCTCAGCTGAGATGCTGACTTACCTGACTGAAGTTTTCACAGTTCATCCACAGAGATGCTGGGATATTACTTCTGATTAGACCACAACCTCTTCTTTCTACATTTTTTATTTCTCATTCTAACATTTCATGCTAAATATTCATGAGATAACTGGGAGCTTAGTTAAATAAATCATAAATAAATAAATGGAGATGGAAAGATAGTTCACTGACTTTGGTCTGCCAACATGTAGAGCATTTAAATGTAATATTATTGTTGAGCATTGCAAGGTTCAGTCATTAATATTTGTATAATTTATCAACTTGAGATACCACTGAATACATGCTTCATATAATACAGTGTGATTCTAAATTATTGTGGCATTTCCATGGCCTGTAAGTTTCAAACCGGAAATCACAAAATAAATAAACTGCTTACAGAATATGAAAGTGTAACTGCAGTATTGATTCTACAAATAATAAAATCATTTGATAACACTTTCATATTCCATAAGGAGTTTTATTTTGTTGTTTCCAGTTTCAAAATTATAGATTATACAAACCCTGACAATAATTGAAAATCATCGTCCATACCAATGTGAGTGGGAAATTACTTTCTTCCCAGACCTTATAATTTTAGGAAATATTGAGAGGTTGCCCTAGTTTGGAAGTATCGTCTCCCAGACACGTAGTTGAAAATTAACTGTGTAGATATACTTACTGTACAAGCTTCAGTTGTAAGACTGGGCTGAGTCCCCTTGGTACTGTGGTCTCAGATTGGCATAATGTACCAGCTCATTATGACATGAGTATGAGGCATTGGTAGAAGAGAGCAAGTAATTGCCTGAGCTGTGGTGTGGTCGTACTGCCTGGCTCTAATTTACAGCCATAACACCATACTTATATAACTGTTGCACAGAAAATGTGGAACTTCAAGAGAATAATCTTGAGTATGAAGTCAGGCTCTCAGCAGAACTGAGTTCCTTCTCACAGTCTTTGTAAAGACCTGTAGCATGATGGTATTTCATATGTGAAGAGTCAACCAGTGGTTTAAGAATTTCAGATACTCTTTTAAACAGATAAATATTTTGGCTATCTTTCGCTTCACTATGGCTCTTGCTTGTGAGATTCATTTTCGTTTCTTGTCATGCTGTTTGTTCGTCCTAAATATATTCAGACAAAGCTTAAAATACTGTAGATAAATATAATTAAAAGGAAGATTATCATGGCTTGCTAAGTATGTTGATTTTAACTTCAAAAGCAATTTGCAGTTTGCAAGTGACCAGGTTTAATTCCAGGACTCTGTAAGACAGTTTCAGAATGCCAGGTGACAAATTTATTGCTAGACAGAATTTCTTGCTTGTGACTGGCAAACACACTGTCATTGTGCTGCTTGATACCCAGTGATGATGTATTGTGCCAGTACCTTTATGAGATTTCATGCAATAAACTTGATCAGTCATTTATTTGGAAAAAAGAAATAGTTCTCATAATGTTTATAGTGTCGTATTTTATACTGGCTAGATTGCGGACTGTATTTTTGTGAACCACTGTGAGACTGAAATTGTAGAATTCTGATAAATGATACATGAAAAAATGTGAAAATTCTATATTGATTGTTTAATTATGTATTGCATATTTATTTAAGGATCAGATTGGAGTTCCAACGAGGAAGTATGGTATTTTCCTTACCATGCTGGAGCCAGCAGAGAGGAATTATCCAATGCATGTCACTGTCTTAGCTCAAGCAAAAGTGCAAGATCTCATCGGACTAATTTGTTGGAAACATACTTTAGAACATGGACAGCATAAACTCAAGTGGGTTATCAAGCACGTTTTAATTGTATTTACTTATATTGATTCTTCTGATGGTAAAGTAACTGGTATAAGCTAGCTAGTGTGTGCAGTCTTAGTGAGACATAAGACGTCAGGTAAATAAGTTTGGAGACTGATTTAAAAAAAATTATTTTATGAGCTGCAGATATTAGCAACTTAGAATTCTTCAAAGTAATCTCCTTGCAGTTCTTCATACAATGTTCGCAGTGCTTCGGCCATTGTCAGAACTTTCCTTGTCATTTTTTATGAATGGGGGGATTGCAGTTCATTTTATAACAGTTCAAAATACACTGGCTCCACCTTGAGGGTCCCAGAATATCATTGCCATTATCTTTCTGGCTGATGGCTGCGTACTGAAACTTTTGGCATGCCCTGATATTTGCTTTATGTATCCAAGTCTCATCATCAGTGATGATGTAATTAAACAATTGTCACCTTCATGGCACTGCTTCAGGAGATAAGAGCTGATGCCCGTACAGTTGTGCTTGTGCTCTTCCGTCATTTCCTTCAGAACCCGTGCTTAGTTGGTGCAGTGTTAGGTTAAATATTGGACTGCCAAGGTCCAGTTTCTGTCAGACAGCAGATTTTTCTTGTCTTCACAGCATCCATACTAGTTCTGGTGCCTACCCAACCGCCTATCCAACGGGTTCCAGGGGCTGTTTCCCCCAAGAGTAAAGCAACAGGAGCATGAAGCTGACCACTCACCTCCAACTAGTACTGAGATCAGGAATGGCGGAGCTATACCTCCACTTACCCATATGTCTTCATGGCATAGTGCTTAATTAATTAGGCATAGGGACAACTTTACTTTTTTACCTTTACCTTTGCCTGGTAGTGGTACTAGTTACGATAATCGGAGTGGCAATTACATTCCATAAATCAGGAAAAGTAAGTGATACATATGGTATTAACGTTTTTGTTTTCAATAAAGAACTCACCTTTACACCATAACCAGCTAAGTGCCAAGTCACAGAACTTTTTTTGGTGGCTAATTTTATGATGCTGTCAGTAGCTATACTATATAGTGTCGAGCGATGGTATGACTGATGAAATGGAAGGGATTTTGAAGTAAGTGACCAAAGCGAAGTTGAAATATCATCCTGGAATTTGCCATGAAGGGACTGAGGAAAACTCGTTAAAAGAACCTCGATGAGTTAGTTTCCCAGCCAAGATTCAAATGAGCAGCTACCAAGTCTAGAGTTTTGCTGCAATGCCACTCTGCTCAGTATCAGAAGTCCCCAACTTAAAGACTCAGGGTGTGATAATGCACTGCTTGGTTGCAACTGTTGCATGCCTCAGAAGGCAGTGACAGATGAGTATGAGGCAATGGTGAAATGATGACTTTGGAGAGAAACCAGCTTTTGTGCACCTTTGCCCACGATATATCTCATTGATGTCAGGATAGTGCAGTCGGTAGAGCAACTGGCTACAGGCTGGATGGCTGACGGGTTGGAATTCAAATACCAGTAGATGCAAGATTTTTCTCCTCTCCATATCCTCCAGACCGGTTCTGGGGAAAACCTACCCTCCTGCCCAGTGGATACCAGGGGCAGAGCAGCTGGGGTGTGATGCTGACCACTCACCTCCAACTAATGCTGAGGTCAAGAGAACAACTTTATGTGTGAATAAATTCAGAAGAGAAACAAATGCAGAGCATCTGTGGGAATGTTTTCAGTTTCACTATAAGGATGATAAGCAGTCTGTACTTTCCTTTTCAAACCAAGTATTAGGTTCCTGAAAACTCTGAAATATCTAAACTGTTGTTTTTATATGAAACACTAGTGTATATAATGTGAAACTGAGTACTGTGGTTTCTCTTGTCAGGGACAGTGTTAATCATTATGGACTGTATATTGCTGAAGACGATGGTGAAGTAGATTGGGACTTCCCATGCTTAGATCCCCGTGAAATAGTTGGGAAATTTGGATTTAATTATTTGGCCCTAGTGGAACGTCAGAAGAGAGAAGATGATTCAAAACCCACAGAACGGTAATGTTACATTTCATATTTTTGTTGGTGGAAAAGCCCTTGAAATTTAGTTAGAATCATTTTGCATAACATCAGCCTTCCTTTCCTTTGTAAATACCTTTGTTTGATTTCTTTCTGTCAACTACATGTATCCAGTGAATTAAGTTACATCTGTATTCATACATGGCACAGTTTCAACATACACAGGAGCTGCTATTTGTGTAAGTACATTGAAACTATTATGGCATAGTGAGATTGGAGTAACAAATGTACATAGTTATAAGCTGTCTACTACTCTGTGTCTACATGCAGTTTTCAGTTATTCTTGGTATTTAATTTTCATTTGTCATTAACAGATAGCAAAGCCTCTCTGTATTTGGTTAGTTTGTGACAGTTGTTTACTATTCATATATTGTTTCTATGTTTTCCCCTACTTTCCTGATTTTGAAAAAATAAATGTAGGGTTATGCAATCACCATGCTCTCTGTGTGTCTGTGAATTCCCCCTATGAAGTTCTGAATGCCTGAACCATTCTTTATGAAACTTGGCACGTGCATCACAGTATCTGATCCCATCTCAACAGCATACTTCATAAGTCCATCCCATAAGTCTGTGTGTCTGTATGTGTATCCCCTTATTGTTGCAAGGCGGTGGCTTGGTAAACGTGTTACTTTGGTAATGAAGACATGCAACAGTTGAAGAATTTTTGGATGTGTGTCTGTGTATTACCCTGTCGTTGCTAGGTAACAACTCAGTAAAGATGTTTCTGCGGCAATGAAGCATTGTAGGAAGCTTAATTTTTTATGCGGTCCATGTCATGTAAGAGGCAAGTAGGCAATTAGTTTTACCCAGAACTTCTTGTCATTCTTTGATGACTGCTGTGAAGTACCTCAAAGAAAAATATCAAAGTTGTATTAGATAATAATTCTTTAAGTGTGTTAATATTTTATGCAATAAAAGCATAATTATTCTGCATGGTATGGTGAGCCTGCTGCAGGAATTGGTTGCAGGTAGTATTAATTATACTGCTGACAATATCCCATCTGTTGTAGCTGTTGTCATTTTCATGTGAAGTGCTTGTTTAGAAGAGCTACTTAAAACCTGTGGGGGTGCACAGCATAGTTGGTTGAGGCATTATGCTACAAAGCAGAAAGTTGTGTGTTTGATTCGTGATGAAGTTAACGGATTTTTCAGTTGACCTAATCCTTCCAGCTGCACTATTGCCCTGGGGTCAACTCAGCCTCTAACAGAAATGAGTACCAGGAGTCTTCCTGGGAATAAAGGGCGGCTAGCATGTAAGACTGACAACCTCATTGCCATCTTTGAGGCAGTTGTCTAGAAAATGTGGGAGTCTTGACTTGTCACAACCTGTGGGACTCCACAGCCTATTACAGGGATATCTTTACATTTCTTACCTTAGTTAAAACCTGTATTTTGTATTTTTTCAATATTGGACTTTATGGTATGGTTGTTAAACAAGATTGGATTGTGAAGGGTCCTGTCTTTTGGGACTTAACTCTGTATAGTCCATTGAAAGTCAATCGACATTTAAGAGGAACATATCGCCTCCATCTTCAGGATCAAAGAATAAGCCAAGCAAGAAACAGCTTGAAAGCAGGTCACAGGTAGAGCTCACTTTCACACTGGTTTCGTATCCACCTTATTCTTCAGCCCTGAAGACGGAAATGATATGTTCTTTGGAAACGTCCTGTGATTTTCAATCCAGTACACGCCGTCATATCTCAGAAGATAGTACTGTTTGTAACCACTGCTATGATAGCTTCAAATCGTACAAAGATTGGATTGTGATTATGTGGAGCCCCTAGTAAATATTAAATTCTGTAATAGACTGTTTCAGAAATTACATATTACTTGCTCATGTTTTCCATTTTTTCCCCAGGGAGGAGAGTCAGGTAATACTTTCACAGGAGCCCTGGCTGAAACCAAAGTGTAAGTTTAACATATTCAGGCTTCTGATTTTGTTAGTGTTGTTGCATTTATTGTATAAAATATAACTGTTGATACATATACTTAATAGATTACTTGTCTGAATCGGTTTTCTATCGAGTATTTTAAATACTGCTGAATTCCTTACAATACAGAGTGGGGTGCAGAAAGTTCCTTTTTTTTTGAAGGCGAATAAAAGAAAAATTATTGCTGATAGACAAAATTTTTGTTTAACTAATGAAAGAAGATACTGTCGCGTATCGGGCGTATATCGCGACAAATAACTTCACGATGTATTTGGTATAGCGAATTTTATTTCCCACTCGCTCTTACAATCACCCAAATTACAGATTTACGATTACTGCTATCTGCAGTATCACAATTAGTACACTCCAAATGCCACAATACAACAGACTGGCTGACTTTACGTCTTGACTCGGCGACTGTTACTTTATAACTCAGTACAACTCTGCGGTAGCCACGCTAGAACTGACTGTGAATAGCCTTCGCTGCTCCCTATGTAGCCTCGATCGGACAATACGGGAAAACGGCCACGTAATAGGCACCCTTGTTGCTAGCCACGCTGTGTTGCTATGTAACGCTAGCGGAGGTAACCGTTGTTACTATCGTAACGTCGCCGCTGTTGATTCGCGTTGCCTAGCGACCGCGATATCCCTCGGTGACGTCACCGCGGAGGGGAGTGGCGGGGCGGGAACTCGCCTATTACCGTAGTAACGCGAGCGTTACGTTATCGCCACGTACCGCTGGGGGGAGGTAGGGGTCAACATGTCACACTGCTCCCTCCTTAAGGCTGTTCGTCCCGAATAGCCTAACGGTGCATCCCCGTTCCTTTTCCTCGGTGGCTGTTCTTGCAGCATCTCCTGTTGTTGCGGCTACTCTTCTTGCAGCGACTATTCTTCGTCCGGTACATCCGCTCCCCTCTTAAGACAAAGCTCGTCTCGAGCGGTTTCCTTTCAGCTCGCCAGAAGATCCAGTCGTGTCCCATTCATCCATCACTTTCATTCTATGGCACATTCACTCTCAATGGGGAGGCCGGTTCTTCTATATTACCGGCTCCTCTTCTGTGCCCTGCTCCTTTTTTCGTTTTGGAGGGGGTCGACCCCTCCATAAGGTCCACTTCCTTATCCTCCGTAACCCGTTGGCAGTACCGACTACTTGTGTCGCGAACCTTCCACTGAAGATCACGTTGCCGGTCTTCTCCCTCAGGCGTAGTAGTTCCTCCACGTCCTGTTTCCTTATGCCCTTGCTGCATTTCCGTTGTGGCTGACGCCGCCTCCCGGACGTCTGTCCTGTCACGGTTCCAGTCCTTCCTTTCCCGGCTTCTTGCCCAGCATTGACCCTCGTTGAGCGTCTCCTTACGGGATCTCCCTTGCGCCGTGTCGCACCTGCACGACTAGTCACATTGCTGTCGGCAGCCAATTCGTGCCATGGGCCACAATTTCCTTGGGTCGTAGATTTCTTGAAGATATGGCGTTTGCGCCATGCCACTGTTGCGCGGCGGGACACCTTCCTGTGGACGACGGCCAACTTCATCTGGGGTCCACGACTTCCCCGCGTCGGATTCTTCATGTTTCGTCGATGTCGGTCCCTGCGCCTTTTCTTCTTCGGTTCTCCGACCGGCATTACTTCGGCGTCTTGTACGGGTACCTCTTGTAATTCTGCCACCTCAGGTTTCCTGTTCGCTGAGGCCAGATCTTCTTCTTCTTGACGTGCCTCCATTACTAGGCAGGCCATCGTCGCTCCGACCGGTATCACTATGGGGACCTCTTCTTGTTGTGCCGTCGCAGGTTTCGTGTCCACTGGGGCCGGCTTTTCTTCTTCTTGCCCGGTTTTCGAGTAAGCGTCTAATTTTGTCAGCAGGACTTCGGTTTGTTTCTGGTTGACGTCTAATTTTACTTGGTTTGCCCTAATCTCTTTAAGCATTTCTTCTTTCTCTTTCTTCCTCTCTTCCTTCTCTTGTCTTCTGTTTTCCTCCATTTTGTCTTCCATCCGCAATCGGTCGGCATCTGCTTTTAATTGGTTTGCCCTCATTTCCTTGAGAAGCATTTCCATCATTTGCTGCGTCTCCATTTTGTAGCAGTAGAACACTCGATGCACAATAATTCAATTATTTGTCTAGGCGTGTTTAAGTTCGTAAAAATTCTGACACCAAATTATCACGTGTTTTGAGTACGAATCTCGTTGGTCACGTGTTGAAGTTCAAATCCCACTTCTGACACCAGTTGTCGCGTATCGGGCGTATATCGCGACAAATAACTTCTCGATGTATTCGATGTAGCGAATTTTATTTCACATTCGCACTTACAATCACCCAAATTACAGATTTACGATTACTGCTATCTGCAGTATCACAATTAGTACACTCCAAATGCCACAATACAACTGACTGGCTGACTTTACGTCTTGACTCGGCGACTGTTACTTTATAACTCTGCGGTAGCCACACTAGAACTGACTGTGAATAGCCTTCGCTGCTCCCTATGTAGCCTCGATCGGACAATACGGGAAAACGGCCACGTAATAGGCACCCTTGTTGCTAGCCACGCTGTGTTGCTATGTAACGCTAGCGGAGGTCACCGTTGTTACTATCGTAACGTCGCCGCTGTTGATTCGCGTTGCCTAGCGACCGCGATATCCCTCGGTGACGTCGCCGCGGAGGGGAGTGGCGGGGCGGGAACTCGCCTATTACCGTAGTAACGCGAGCGTTACGTTATCGCCACGTACCGCTGGGGGGAGGTAGGGGTCAACATGTCACAATACTTTAAAGTTTTAAATCATTTAGTTTTAAACAAAATATCTTGAAGCTGGTGGCCACTGTTCTCTATGCATTGATGCAACCGTTTTCTGAAGTTCCCCTCTGCACGTTCCAACGTGTGCACCGGAATTTTGGCTACTTCCTGCCGAATAACATTCTTCAGCTGAAGCAGGTTTGTGGGGCGATGTTTAAAAACCTCTACCTTGAGGTATCCCCATAAAAAAAAATCACAGGGCGTTAGGTCAGGTGAGTGCGTTGCCCACAGGACGTCACCTCGAAGTGAGATGAGCTGTCTGGGGAACTTTGACCACAAAACTGTCATTGAAGCTTGGGTTGTGTGGGCCGTGGCACCATCCTGTTGGAACCAGACATTTCCTAGATGCATTTCTTCAAGAGCTGGTTCGAAAAAGTTTTTAATCATGTCCACATACCGCTGTGAATTGACAGTAACTGCATGATTGCCTTCTTCAAAAAAATAAGGGACAATAACTCCAACTATCGACAGTGCACACCATACTGTCACCTTATCACTGTGAAGTGGCCTCTCATGGAGCTCTCTGGGATTGTTACCACTCCAATAGCGTATATTCTGCTTGTTGAAATATCCGGATAGGTGAAAATGTGCCTTATCACGAAAGAAAACAAATGCATCAGGGGTAAAGCTTCCAATAACGTTTTACACGCTGTTATTCACTTCTGGAAATCATGTGGTGACAATTCTTGCACAACAGTCATCTTATAGGGATGGAAATGAAGATGTTCGACAGCAAATGCACGCTGCTCACTCGTCCACCTCATGTTTCCTACTGAGGGGTATTAGACAGAAACTTCCGCGACTGCTACGTTTGCCGAGCCTATCCCCACTTTTCTGCGACCTCCCCTCCCTTCACAATGCAACTTCACACAAAGGAAGTTTCTGCGTCCCACCCTATATATAGAGATAGCATGAAGATTAGTTTTCTTGTCTGTGAAAGTCTGGCAGAAAAGTATGTAAGTTTAGGAGGAATGTGTTGCTTCTATGTAAGGATGGATGCAGCAAAGCCTGCCTAGATGTTTGGAGCCTTTTACTGGACTGCATATCCCAGTAGACAGTGATCTTTATACATGGTGTGTTCCAAAAGTATCGAGCCTTTTTTTTCCTGCGTAAACCAGTGAAGCGCGGGAGGCTCCATACGGTGGAGATGTGGAGGGGACAGTCATGTGCAGTAGTGAATTTTTTCCCGCCCGCAGAAAGCGTCAGTCGCTGGCAGTCAGCCTATGAGTGAGGACGTGTAGTGAGCGCTTGTCAGATTCCAGTAAGGTGTAAAATGACGGAACAACATGAGCAGCGATATTGCATCAAATTTTGCCAAAAGCTTGGCGATACCCAAGTGGAAACCATTCGCAAGATTCAACAGGCTTTCGGGGACGATGCCATGAGCAACTCATGGATAAAGGAGTGGTACAACTGCTTCAAAGATGACCGCAAATCAGTGGACAGTGAACCGCATTCAGGCAGACCCTCAACAAGTGGAAATGAGAATGTCATTGAGCAAGTGCAGACTTTGGTCATGGAGGACCGTCGTATCACAGTCCGAGAACTTCTGAACGAGATAGGCGTAAGCATTGGATCGGTACATTCAATTTTGACTGAGGATTTGGGCATGAGGAGAGTGTCCATGAAATTCGTACCGAAACTGCGCATCTGATTCAGACTTTCATTGCCAAACACAACATCCCTGTGGTTCATCAGGCTCCCTACTCCCCCGACATGGCTCCGTGTGACTTTTGGCTATTTCCCAAGCTGAAAATGCCGCTGAAAGGAACCCGATTTGAGTCAAGAGAAGACATCATGCGGAATGCGATGGCCCGGCTGATCACCATTCCAAGAGACGCGTTCCAGAAGTGTTTCCAACAATGGCGGAAGCACTGGGAGAAGCGTGTGCATTATCAAGGAGACTACTTTGAAGGGGATTAGGGTTTTGTACCTCCAAATCAATAAATGTATTTCTGCCGACCAAAGGTTCGATACTTTTTGAACACACTACGCAACTAATAATACAAATTCCACCATCAACACAACTATAATTTATTAACTTTTGTTCCATGACATGTTTCCACCCTTAAAGGGCCATCCTTAGGTGTTGTAATTTACACATTTTCATTATTGAATTGTAGAGCTTTACAAATCAATAATGAAAATGTGTAAATCCAACATAGTGGAACATAAGTTAATAAATTATTGTTG